GACAGTTCAGATGTTGGACTTGGAGCCGTGATCACTCAGGATGGAAAGCCCATTGAATATGCGTCAAGAGCACTGACACAGACCGAACGTAATTACGCCCAGATAGAAAAGGAGTGTCTTGCAATTGTTTTTGCAACACGAAGATTTGAACATTACATACTGGGTAAAGACAATGTCAAAGTCTACACTGACCACAAACCACTGGTAACAATCTTTAAGAAGCCAATTCTTACAAGCCCAAAGAGATTACAGAGAATGAGACTTACATTACAGAAGTACTCACTTGGTTTAGAATACAAGCCTGGACCACAGATGTTTATCAGTGACACACTATCAAGAGCATCATTGCCAAACAAGTCCATTGACAAAGAAACACCTCACTATCAGATTTTTCAGTTGAATGAAGAACAGACACTGTACTCAGAGTATGCAGATGACAATGCAGAAGACTCGCTCTTTGTTACAGATACAAGACTAGACGCAATTAAGAAGGATACAGCTAACGACACAACACTACAAACTCTAATGCAAGTTGTCAAAGAGGGTTGGCCAGAGAACAAAGCTAATGTTCCTATCTGTATTCGTGAATATTGGCCATATAGAGATGAACTAGCCACTCAGAATGGTTTAGCCTATCGTGGAACTAGAATCATAATACCAACACAAATGAGGAAGCAGATGATCAACAGAGCACATGCATCACACCTGGGAATCACTTATACAGTCAACACTGCAAGAGACATCATGTATTGGCCGAGAATGACAGCAGAATTAACAGAGGCAGTTAAACAATGCACAGCCTGTCAAGAAACACAACCAGCTACACAGAAAGAGCCTATGATGACTCACCCCATTCCACAACTACCCTGGCAATCAGTAGCTAGTGACTGTGTAGAGGTAAAGGGTCAACACTATGTTGTAATTACTGACCTTTACTCTGACTACATTGAAATTGCAGAACTAAAAGATGAAACTACAGCAACACTCGTCAAGCAAATGAAACCAATCTTTGCAACCCATGGTACACCKGMAGTGCTAACGACTGACAACGGTCCCAATTATGCTTCAAAGGAGTTTAAGAACTTTACAATTGAATGGGACATACAGCACATCACAATAAGCCCTCATCAYCATAAATCTAATGGTAAGGCTGAAGCTGCTGTAAAGACTGCTAAAAAGATCATCAAAAGAGCAAAGAAAACAGGACAAGATCTATGGAAAGGTTTACTTGAATGGAGAAATGCAATTACACCAGGAATGAATACCTCACCGGCCCAGAGGTTGATGTCGCGCAGAACCAGAACCTTTCTACCCTGTGCAACCAACATGTACAAGCCAGAGGTACAAACCAGTGTTGTCCCTCAAATAATAACAAAGCGACGAAAGGCAAAGTTAYATCATGATAAAGGAGCAAAAGAACTACCAAAGCTGATAGTAGGACAACCTGTCATGGTGAAAGTTACACCTCAGCAACCTCGAAGTGAGTGGAAAGTGGGAACAGTGAAACATGAAGCAGCAACTCCCCGCAGTTACATTGTTGAAGTAGAAGGCAGAAAGTACAAGAGGAACAGAATTCACTTGAAGGACACTATGATCAGTTCACAACACACATCTCAGCCACCTGCCCCTTCTCAAGAAACATTATTAGCTGAAACTCTCAACCAAGACACACCAGACAAGTCAACTACAGACAACACCAAATCTCCCAAGTCTTCTACAGCTACAGAGTCTACAACAGCCAGTACAGATTCATCCACAATTTGCACAAGAGCTGGACGATTGGTGAAAGCACCAAATAGACTCAATTTGTGACTGTTATTATTCAGAGACGTTCTKTAATATTAATATATTTGCTATAAACACTGTTCTTATTGTTATTTAAAGTAAACAAAATTTAGTTTTTTATTTTCTTTGGAAAAAGGAAGATGTTATATTATATGTACTTAATTATGGGTTTCCTGTGCCCTCATTAATAAAACCACGTGCTGGAATATGGCGTCTGACTGCTTGCAACTCATATAACAGAAATGTGCAAACAAGAAATTCTGGAAAAAAAGACACAATACAAAGCGATTTACGCAGAATATTAAATCATGATCTTTGTGATCATGTCTGTTAAAAATATCCTAAATTTCAATCACTCGTTATAATCCTGCATGCGCTGCCCGAGTTCTGGGAGCGTATGTACGTCGTGAAGACTGTCAGGTTATATGTTATATATAATCCTTCTTGTTCACTGTGAAATTGAATATAACTCGGATCAGCAGAAAGGTAAAATTCATCCAATACAATTTATACGAATGTTTGGCGATCTCGAAAAAGTTTAAAGGGAGCCAGAGACAAAAGACTCACATATCAAACAAGGATCAAGCTATAAAGATCAGAATGTCGAAGTACGGAAG